TCACCTGACTGCACCTTTTGTGGTGTAATTGAACCCTGTGACCAACTGACTGCACCTTTTGTAGTGTGATAGAACCCTTTTGTAGTGTGATAGAACGCTGGGACCAAATGACTACACCTTTTGTAGTGTGATAGAACCCTGTGACCAACTGACTGCACCTTTTGTGGTGTGATAGAACCCTGTGACCAACTGACTGCACCTATGTGACAGAACACTGTGACCAACTAACTGCACTTTTTGTAGTGTGATAGAACCCTGTGACCAACTGACTGCACCTTTTGTAGTGTGATAGAACCCTGTGACCAACTGACTGCACCTTTTGCAGAATGTGATAGAACCCTGTCACCAACTAACTGCACCTTTTGTAGTGTGATAGAACCCTGTGACCAACTGACTGCACCTTTTGTAGTGTGATAGAACCCTGTGACCAACTGACTGCACCTTTTGCAGTATGTGACAGAACCCTGTGACCAACTGACTGCACCTTTTGTAGTGTGATAGAACCCTGTGACCAACTGACTGCACCTTTTGCAGTGTGATAGAACCCTGTGACCAACTGACTGCACCTTTTGTAGTGTGATATGACCATGTGACCAACTGACTGCACCTTTTGTGGTGTGATTGAACCCTGTGACCAACTGACCGCACCTTTTGTACTGTTATAGAACCCTTTTGTAGTGTGATAGAATGCTGGAACCAACTGACTACACCTTTTGTACTGTGATAGAACCCTGTGACCAACTGACTGCACGTTTTGTAGTGTGATAGAACCCTATGACTAACTGACTGCACCTTTTGTAATGTGATAGAACCCTTTGACCAACTGACTGCACCTTTTGTAGTGTGATAGAACCCTTTGACCAACTGACTGCACCTTTTGTGGTGTGATAGAACCCTTTGACCAACTGACTGCACCTTTTGTGGTGTGATAGAACCCTGTGATCAACTGACTGCACCTTTTGTAGTGTGATAGAACCCTGTGACCAACTGACTGCACCGTTTGTAGTGTTATAGAACCATTTGACCAACTGACTGCATCTTTTGTAGTGTGATAGAACCCTTTGACCAACTGACTGCACCTTTTGTAGTGTGTTAGAACCTTTTGACCAACTGACTGCACCTTTTGTGGTGTGATAGAACCCTTTGACCAACTGACTGCACCTTTTGTGGTGTGATAGAACCCTGTGATCAACTGACTGCCCCCCTTGTAGTGTGATAGAATCCTGTGCCCAATTGACTTCATCTTTTGTAGTGTGATTGACCCCTTTGACCAACTGACTGCACCCCTTGTAGTGTGACAGAATCCTGTGCCCAATTGACTGCACCTTTTGTAGTGTGATAGAACTCTGTGACCAACTAACTGCACCTTTTGTGGTGTGATAGGACCTTTTGACCAACTGACTGTACCTATTGCAGTATATGACAACCGAGTGACCAACTAACAAACTCAAGAATATACACTATGCATGTGTACTTTGATAAAAGCGTCTGTACTCAATTTGCTAAACATGTGCATTTACCATTTAATCAATCAGACTAACACAGAACAAATGGTTTCTTGATATCTTTCAGTATATGTGGCACCATATCTAGTGAACCATTTGTCAGTGACTTACGTCACTGCTCGTTGCTATGATGATGCAAATTTGAAACACAAAGAGCATATCATTGCAATGTTGAAAGACAAGGTGTGTTTCAACGGCAGTTGTGAAATAAACAAAGTTGAAATGTCATGCAACATCATCGAGGAGGATGAAGTACCGGTGCATGAGTTAACTTTCAAATATCTCTTGGCTATTGTTAACAGTGGATTTACCGACACATGTAACATCACCTGTCTACTGAAGGATATGCAGAGCCGTATGCAAAAAGTAGGTCTTTCATTGACGCTATACAATAGGATCCTGTTTGTGTACATAATCCTGCATTTCCTTTTTAGCATTCAAAACTAGATATGTTCTTTGGAACGTACCAAGGAACTTCAATAATAACAACAAAACAAAACAACATTCAGGACAACAAAACTTACAAGTACTAAAACATATCAAGAATATAGAAAATCAATTTTGCTAAGAATGAAAAAAAATCATTACTTGAAACAATATTAAGAAATATTTCATATCATATATATTCTGGGGTAAAGGATGGTATTAGTGGTTGGCTGGTGATGCTGTAAACTATTGGACCATCGCACTTGTTTAGGGTTTGCACTAGACTGGCGCAGTTTTTGTATTTTGTTTATTATATCCTGGTGGTTTACCCATCATACATTGCACCACAAAGGTACCCACAGTTAAAATTCCTGAGTCAGAGTTAACAAGTGAATTTAATTACCGGTAAACTCATACTTGAATATTAATCCAAAAAAATATTAACTCAATATTAAGTAGTGCAACATGGCTAGAAGTGAATATAAGTATTTGTTTTGGGTAAGAGTTCCTGTGATATGTTATAGTCAATATTTCAGTAGCACAATAAGATCTTTGGGTTAACCTTTCCACCACCAAATTTTCTCACCCAAATTTTTCTGTACTTTTTTCTTATTAGTCCCCGTTCGGACGTAGTCCGAAAACGGGGACTTATGTTTTGCCCTGTGTGCGTCCGTGATCACCTGTATCTCGAACATGCATGGACCGATTAAGTTCAAACTTCACTCATACATCACACATTATATGGGACATATGCACATGCATTTTTTTCATGATCCGATTAACGATAGCCGAAAAATGCATCAAAATCGCACATTTTCAGCATTCCGGACCCGGATCTCAGTTATGCATGGACGGATTTTGTTCAAATTCGATACATACATTAAACATAATAGGATCTTGATACACATCATTTTTTTTTTTGGATCGGGTTTGAAATGGCCGACTGGCGGCCATTTTGTTTTAAAGAATTCAGTTCTGGATCCGTATCTGAGACATGCCTGGATTGATCGAGTTCAAACTTCACACACACAAGGTACATCATGTCACAAATATGTATGTGCATTTGTTTCATGATCTCATTAACAATAGCCAAATGGCGGCCGCTTTAAGACCGAAAATGCATTGAAATCGCACATTTTCACCATTCCGGACCCGGATCTCAGTTATGCATGGACAGATTTTGTTCAAATTTGGTACATACATTAAACATATTAGGACCTTGATGCACGTCATTTTTGACTCCCGTGTGCGAAGCACAAAAGGGAGTCTTTGCCAGTTACCCTGTCTGTATGTCTGTGTGTATGTATGTATGTATGTATGTCACTTTTTTTGTTCCACCGTTATCTCAAAAACCACTAATCAAATTTTGG